TGTGTGTGTGTGTGTGTGGTGGTGGTGCTGGGGACTGTGAAACTATATAGCATTTGATTTTTAAAAATCACTTTAAAGCTGGTAATCCCAGTGACTGGGGAAGCTGAAGCAGGAGGATAGCAAGTTCAAAGTCAGTGTCAGCAACTTAAGGAGGCCCTAAGAAGAGATCTGCCAATTAAATGATATTACTTTCCCTATTATCCAAAATTTCTCTCTCTACTCTCTCTTTTCCCTACGGGCAACTGTGGTCCAAAATATTACATGAAAGATTCCAAAGAAATAATAAAACAAATATGAAATGAAAAATTCCAATAAAAAATTGTTTATAAAACAATTCATAAGTTCCAAAGTGCGTGCCATTCTGAATAGTGTGATAAACTCTGATGTCATCCTGCCTGGGGCCTCGGATTGTCCCTTATATCTACCATCTGCTGTTGGTGCCCCTGTAGCTACCTTGGTTGTGTCCTGTCCTGGTCCCCATGCTGTGTTCACACAGCCCCTTTGTGTTCGTCATGGGCACAAAGCACAAGAACAGTGGTGCTAGCAACTCCGTTACAGTAGGTTATTCAAATCGTCCTTTCTGTTGCTAGCTGTTGTTGATCTCTCAGTGTGCCATATTGGAAGTTAAACTTCACCCTAGATATGCATTTGTAGGAGAACACCCAGTGCATTGAGGGTTTAGTGCCACTCATGGTTCCAGGCAGCCAGTCTTGGAATGTCATTTTTCTAAGACTTCGTGTGTTCAGTTTGTGGAAATGCAGGTGTGGAAATAGTAGCCAGAGACTGTGGCCATTTTAAATGTTACTCAGGAATTGATCACAGGTGCTGATTGCACACTCAGAATCTGGCCAGTGCATTAGACTTCTTTGTGTTTAAACTTTCCTGTGGTGCTCAGGTGGTGTTGGAAGTCACCTTTCATGTAGGGCAGGAATGCAGCGAGAGGCACTGGGTTAAGCCTGGGCCTTATTTTGCTTAAGAATTATAGTCTCATAGCTGCTTCTCCCTTGAAACTGGTTTCCTTCTGTTGTACACCCGGGTCTATATTACCTTGGGCTTCAATTTTTTTAAGGGTCACTCATATGAAATATTGTAGTCATAGCCACCTGTTTATGAGTGGCTTAATTGAAACTTTGCTTAATGGAATTTGATTAAAAAACAGAAAACTTGGGTGAGATGCCATAGTTAAGGAATTTAGCCCAGGGCCTCACACGTGGTAAGCACTCAGCAAATTTTAGTTGTCACAATTGTTAGAATTCCTTCAAAAAGTGACATTTAACCAGGTGGAGGAGAAAGGAAAGCCCTCCAGGCAGAAGGAGTAAGACATACTAACGTCCTGAGAGGTCGCAGAGGCTGTGGTCCTTTGGGGCGGCAAAGCAGCTGGTAGGGGGAGGACAGGCTGGTGGCAGGAAGGGTTGCTGCAGAGCCAGTGGGGCCTGGCCTCTGGATTTGGGATGATACCTGGACTTGTGGGAAGAGAATGGGAGCCATCAGAGTCTCACACGGAGACCAGTCAGATTGGCGATGCTAAAACACCCCAGCTGCCTTGGAGAGCTCGGTGACCCGGCACTTCCAGTGAGGTTTGGCCAGAGAGTAGGTGCCTAGCTGCCGGCAGGATACTGAAGCTCCTCGTTTCCTCATCTGCCAGGCAGACTCTGTGAGGACCAGTCTCCGTATGTAAAGCTCTTTGAACACTCCTGGCACACAGGAAGTGTTGTGCTTTATTAAAGAGAACACAGGGTCTGGCAGCAGGGGGCTTCCAGCATTACCTTGCCTCTACCTGGCGAGGGACTCCCCTCCTCCAAGAACCTGACTGCACCCACCTAGTGTGCAGACCAAGCCTGCCTTGACCCTCACTCTTGCCTTGAGTCTGACGTACAGCAAGGCTTTCCCTTGCCCAGACTGCCTGCCCCCCTGCCCCCTTGCTGAGAACACAGATGTCCCTGTGTGGTTGAGCCCACTGCCACTGTGAGTGCCTTAGGGGAGTGAGAGCAGCTGCTCTCCCCCTGTGGACCTGAGCCACACACCTCTGTCCCCACCCCACTGCCTGGCAGCTCTTACTTTCTGTACTCAGGAAGAAGAAAAGAACATTCTGCATGGGGCCCATGCAGCTTTTCCTCACTCTCATAAGGAGCCTTAGAATTACACCTTTTAAAACGTTCACCTTCAGGGCCGAGCTGTGGCTCAGTGGTAGGAGGCTTGCCTGGCATGTGTGAGGCCCTGGGTTCGATCCTTAGCACAATACATACATGCATGTATACCACATAGTAAAAGGGCCATTGACAACCAAAAAAACACAAGTTCACCTTCACCTCGTAAGTCCCCACCTTTTCCTTTTTAAGGAGCCTGCTGTGTGTGTTGCTGGTCTGTAGTGGCTGCTTAGACACGAATTCCTTCGCTGAGTGCTGGTGTTTCCAAGCTCTTGTTAACCTACGAGATGCTTCTCTAATTGGAAAACATTGTGCTGATCTCGGACAGGGACTCAGGAGTGTCATCTGGAGCTTGGTGTGCAGGATCCCAGGCAGGTCTGGGCTCTTGGCAAGCACCACAGTCTGGTCTGCACAGAGACCCACCGGGTTCTGGGCCAGGTCCCCCATGGGACCTGGGGGTTATTTTATTTCATTAAAACTGTCTCCAGAAAACAACTACAAAAAATATAAAATGACTGTTTCACTGTGAATATAATAAAACCCCACTGAGTTAAGTAAAAGGGGTGCATTTTGTGCTGTATGAAGGAGTTTATTTCAATAAAACTGTTGTTAAATATTTCCAAATAAAACACTTTTTAATTTTTTTCCTGATTATAAAAGGAATACACACACACACACACACACACACACACATACAGGAAGCTGGAAAACATAAGTCGAAGAGGGGCAAGATTTTATATGCACACGTAACCAACTCCCCATCGTGGCTCCACTCTGCAGACTGTTACCTTTGGGGATGTTTCCTTCTGGTTTTTTTTTTTTTTTTTTTTTTGTATGTTTGTTTGTTGTTTTTTTAAAAAATTTTTTAAGTATGGATTATTTTTCCTTTCTTCATTTAGTTCTATAATGTAAGCATTTAAAATGCTCTCCTACATTCTTCATAAATATTTTAATGGCTTGCAATGAGCCATTGTATAAAGATATTACAAATGAAGTGTCCCCTGCTCTTAGATGTTTTTCATGATGACAATACCGGTCCAAATGTCTTTGAACATGATTCCCACTGTCGTGTTTAGATCTATTTCCTTAGGGGTATCTACGTGCATCAGAGGTGTGGGACGCTCTCAAGGCAGGTAGTGCCTAGTTTCAAGCTGATGGCACAGAGCACTGCCTGTTAGCTACAGGGAGTCCTGTGCAGGTGGCACACTCCTGAGCAGGCACCGTCCTGAAGTCCAGGTGGCCTTCAGGCTCTGGTGCCCCTGCTCACACTCCAGGGGTACCTTGGCATAAGCAGAAGTCCTCACGTGTGTTCCCCAGGAACTCCCAGGGCTCCTGTTGTGTAGAACCCAGCAGCTTCACGTGTTCAAATCTGCAGAAAGCTTTAATTCACTAAGTGGAAACTGGTGTGTGTGTGTGTTCTAGTTTACTCTTTAAAAGCACCAAAATCAATTTTTAAAAAATATTATTAGTTGTAGATGGACATAATACCTTTATTTTATTATTATTTTTATGTGGTGCTGGGGATCAAACCCAGGGCCTCCTACTTGCTAGGTAAGCATTCTACCACTGACCTGTAAATCCTGCCCCTAGTTTGCTCCTTTATATTACGAAGATGAACATTTATCTATTTGTTTCGCAGACATTTGTATTTTTTCTTAAAAGTTAACTGTTCATGTTTATCTTTGTGTTTTTACTGTTTGTCATTGCAGGTTTTGTACATTAATTTTATTACTCTTTCATGTTTTTTTCTAGTTTGTGCTCATATTGTTTTCTGAAAAACAGGTTTTATTTCTATTTAGAACAACTCATCTTTTTACTGTATTTCACTGGTACGTTATAGTTATACATAATATTCACATTCATTTGCCATATTCTTTCATGTCATAACACATAGTTTTATCAGTCTCATTCCCTAGTACACTGCTTTCCTCCCCCCTTCCCTCTTCAATCCACTTGCTTCTCTGACCTCCCTTATATCAGTGTTATGATTTTAATATCAACATGTTTTCTTTTCTCCTTGAATCAAAGCGAGCTGGGTATTTAGACAGAGGGGAATTGCTGGTGTCATGGGGACCGTCCCATAATACGACTCGGACTCTGGGCTCTGCCTTTTGTCTACTTCTAAGAAGTCAACTCTTTCTCTTTCTGTTTGGTTTTTAGGGTTTGTTATTGCATATACTTTCAGCATTCAGATTTGATGTAAAAGAAGTCGGCCCTTTCACTCAGTGTCTTGGGTACGAGCCTGTGGATTACTATCCTGGTTTGCTTAAAAATGTGAGTATGTTAAATTTATTAGTATTGAAATATTCAAAAAAAGGGGATGGGTGGGTAAGTGGAAATACTTCACTCCTCCAGGAGAGTTGTTTAACCTTCCTTTGTTTATATCTTCTTACCTTGGGCGGACTTAAGGCCATATAAGGAAGAACTGTGAGAAGGAAGCTTATGAGAAGAAGAAGGAAACCAGGAAAGGTTTTAGTAAATCAAGCAATCGGCCTCTCTGGGGGAAGAGCATTCCTTAACAAGTATAAACACAACCGTGTGCTCTTGAACAAATCTTTTATTTAAAATAAACTGATTAGAATTTTATGGTAAAGGAAAGTAGAAAATGCACTAAGTAACCTAGTACACAGTGTTACATATTACATCTTAGCAACGAAGTTGTGTTTTCTTCTGCCTTTAATTTTAACCATATTCAAGAAATTTAAATATATGACCTTGACAGAACTCTTCTCAAAATACTTTGAGATATTTAATGTTTGTTAATCATTTTGCCCTTTTGAAAGTTTAATACATGAAAAGAATGTTTATTTATTTATCTGTTTTATATGGTGCTGATGATGGAACCCAGTTCCTCACATATGTGAGGCAAGCACTCAACCACTGAGCTACAACCCCAGCCCCAAGAATTTTTTTAAATAAAGAAAATTCAGAAAGAAGTGAATGAACTGAAGCATGTTTTTAGTTTTTATTGATTTTGTTTGTAATTTTTAGGAAATTAATAATTGTTGCTCACTGCTAGGTAGGAATGCAGAATAAGACGTGTTGGACCCACTTATGGGTAAATGTGCCTTGGCACTGCCGCCTCCTCACCCTGCCTGAGGAGAATACAAGGAAAGGAGGGCAGAGGGCAGGGGCTAAGGGACTGCAGTGGAAATGTCACTCATACCAGGACTGATGTGACCCTGTTTGCAGCAGGTGCTCACCTGCAACTGGTTGTGTCTTACAGATGGTGGCATCGTTAGTGTCTGAGCTCAGGGAGGGTCATCTTAACGGATGGAACACTCAAAGACGGTAGGTGTTCAGCTAAGTGTTTCTCTTCTCAGATTTCAAAATGTATCAGTTCAGTTATAAGAGAAAACGCCTCCAAACCAGAGGTCATGCGTGTTTGTAGTTATGGGCATATCCTGTGTAGCCAATTGGTGAGTTTTTTACCTTTTTTTTTTCCATCAGTATTTCCTTGACTCTCATAGAACAGTAAATAAATTTATTTATGCACATGTTTTGTGGACCCATTAGGTGAAAATCCCTATGTATATAGTTAGGGACACAAAAAGGAAAAGGAGCACTGAGCTCACCCTGGGGTTGCTCACCATGTCAGGAGATCCTGTGCAATGCAGGTGTGTGCTCTGTGAGCCTTGCTCGTCCCCTGCCCCGCCACCGTGACAGTGTGCCTGTGCGCGAGCACGCACATGGGGTATTTACAAGGCAACAGATCTTTGATGTGCACATATGACCTATTCTAAGAAACATAATATTCTAAAATCTAGACTAAACAAATCAAATAGATTCAAACAAATTAAAAAGCAATTAATCATCTTTATACATGTTTCTTTGCTTTGTAAAATAATACAAAATTGTTTTCATTGGTGAGTATTTAATTTTTAACAGTCACTAAGAAAATCTAGGGTCTGAGGGATTGTGTATGTGTGTGTCCGTCTGTCTGTCTGTCTGTCCATAAAGCTATGCCAAATGAAACATTTGGATAATGATAACATTATCAGAAATGGTCTTTGCCCTCAGCCTTTAGGAATGCCTTGCATCTAACCCTTAAAGTAAACTATGAAATTCTTAGAAGGAAAAATTGGAAAAATCCTCATGACTTTGGATTTGGCAATGATTTTTTTAGTCGTAGATGGGCACAATATCTTTATTTTTCTTTCTTTTTTTTTTTAATGTGGTGCTGAGGATTGAACCCAGTACCTCATGCTTGTGAGGCAAGTGCTCTGTCACTGAGCTACAACCCCAGCCCTTGGCAATGGTTTTTTAGATATGACACAAAAATATATGCAACAAAGAAAAAATATACAAATAGGACTTTATTAAAATTAACTTTTTGCTGGGAATATATTTTTGCTCAGTACTAGAGTTCTTTCCTGACATGCACAAGGCTCTGGATTTGATCTGCAGCACAATAAATAAACAAACAAATAAATACATAAAACTTACTTCAAAGATTCAAAGAACCCTACCAGGAAGCAAAAGTTAGCCTACCAAATTGAATGAACACTTTTGCAGATAGTATCTCTAAACAAGGAATTGGTATCTAGAATATATAATAACAAAAAATCCAGTTCAAAAATGGGCAGAGGCTGAGGATGTTGTTCAGTAGTGAAGCCTAGGTGCTCTGGCAGCTCTGATTTTGATCCCCAGCATACCTCAAACAACAACAACAACAAAAACCAAAACCAAACCAAAACCAAAGCAAAGCAAGACAAAAAATACAAACAAGGAAAAAGTAGAGGACTTGAATAATGAGCTCATGGAAGGACACTCAACATCCCTAACCATTAGGGAAATGCAAGTGAAATACCACTGTACGCCTCGTAGGGTGACCATAATAATAATAGAGAAAAAAGTGGAAGACAAGAGTTGGTGAGGATTGCAGAGAAATTGGAGCCCCAGTGCATTACTGGTTGGAATATAAGTAGATGCAGCTACTGTGCAAACAGTTTGGTGCTTCCCCAAAATGTTGAACATTGAATCAATACCAGAATCAAAAGCAGGAGCTCTAGCAGACATCTGTATACAAATGTTCATTAGCCACAGTAGCTGAAAGGTGATACAATCCAAATGTCCATCATCAGTTGAATGGAGAAGCAAATGTAGTTTATCCTATACAATGTAATACTGTTCAACTATAAAAAGGAATAGAATTTTTATATGTTCAAGAACATGGGCAGACCTTGAAAACATCTTGCTTAGTGAAAGAAGCCAGACACAGGACAAATAGTGTTTAATTTCACTTATATGAGATCCTAGAATAGGCACATTCATTAGAGACAGAAAGCAGAATAGAGGTTTCCAGGGGCTGGAGGAAGGATAGAAAGGGAGTTATTGTTTAATGTGTTAAAAGTTTATGTTACAAATGGGTATAGATAATAGTGAGGAGAAGACAATGCTGTATGTTCTATATTTAATGTCAGTGAATTATTACCACTTATAAATAGCTAAATAGTAACTGTTATATGTTTTACCACAGTAAAAAATTAAACAAGAAAAAAAAATCAGATGAGATACCACCTCATAGTCCCTCAGATGACTAAAGTGTAAAGCCCTCGCCTGTGTTGCCCAAGATGTGCACCTCCTCTCCACAGCTCACGGGAATGTGAATGGTACACCACTTGTGACAACTGACTAGGGTGAAGCATAACTTGCTGTGCAACTTGGCAGTCCAATGTTGTGTCTTTTCTCATAACCAGTGAACACACAGACACTCACTGATACTTGTGTGTGAATGTTCATAGCTGCTTCATTTGAAATACTTCTGAATCAGAACTAATCCAAAGGATCATCAACAAGTGAATGGAAGAACAAATTTTATAGGGCTGGGGGTATCGCTCAGTGGTAGAGCCCTTATCTACCATGCACAACGCCCTGGGTTCAATCTCCAGCACCACCCGCCCCCCAAAAAACCTGTTTACCATCTTATAATAAATAAAAAAAAAATCACAGACTAAGAAAATACTTCAAGTCACATGTCTGCTTAGGCCTCCATGTCTAGAATATATGAAGAAGTCAGCAATAAGACAATAACTCAATTTAAAATGGGCAAAAGATTGAAATACAGATTTCACCAAAAAGTATATACAAATAGCTAAGAAGCACCCACATGCTCTATATAAATGTTCATAGTATTACTGGTAGCAGACAAAAAGTGGGAGCAACCCAGATATCCCTCCACTCATGAAAGGTTAAACAGAGCTGGTATTTCCACACATAAAAGAATTTTCCTCAGCAAGAAGGAACTGACCCAGGCTGCAAATGTGGATGAGCCTCAGAAAGAATCTGAGTGAACGAATTCACTCACAAAAGTCCACAGATATTATGAATCCATTTGTAGGAAATACTCAGAATAGGTAGATATAGACACAGAAAAGAAATTGGTTGTTTGGGCTTGTGGAAGGAACAGAAGGGGAAGAAATTCCTACAAATGAACACTTGGGAGCTTTCTAAGGTGATGGGGATGTTCTAAAGCTAGATGATGCTGATGCTGGTGATTTTCTAACTGAGGAAATATATTAACATCATTGAACAGTACACTTAAAATAGATCAATTTTGTAGTATTATGATGTATGCCTAAAAAACAAGAATCTCTAGGGAGCAAGAAGAATATTTAGATGCACTTATTTACATGTCAGGTAAAGACGTCGATTATGTTGAATAATTTATCTTTTGAATTATATAATCTGAAAAATTTTAAAGGGAACTTAAAAATGGGTAAGATCAGTGTGTATACACTCTCTACACCAGACTCCCAAAATGTCATATAGTTAAAAAATTTTTTTAAATCAACTAGGAATAAACAAAATAATAATAGCAACAATAATAATAAAACACTGTTAACACCTGGAAATAACCAATGACAGACTTGGAAGATGTTTGCAACTTATAAAACTGATAAAAAAGTTAGTATGCAATGTGTGGAAGGACTACCACAAACCAGTTATAAAAGGCAGATACTCTGCTCTGGAAATGGGCAAGGAACACAAGCAGATCATTACCAAAGAGGAAAACTCAATGGATAGTAAACATTAAAGAAATTATTCAGGAATGACATTAAAAATATGGCAGAATAGGAAGCCTGAGTCTCATTCTCCCACAGAGACATCAGCTTAAAAGTAGTATGTGGTAATGTTTTGAACAACTAATAATTAAATAAATACATACATACATACATACATACACACATACAAAATGTGTGCTGGAAAAAAGGAAAAAAAAAAATAGTATGTGGCCAAAACAGCCATCTTGAGAACTTAGAGAATTAAGAAGTCACCAAGCTGCAGACAAATTCCAAGTCAAGAACATCCACATTGAAATGGGTAAGAAAAACCTTGTCGTATCCTTAGTGATAACCACTTCCCCCACTGGCACACATGATCAGGACTCAAGGAAAAGCCCAGCTTACAACTCCTCTCTGAAAGGAACTAGAGGATTGGAACACACATCCGACATTTCAGCTTTTCAGGGAACTGTCCAAGGAGCTGGTTTCTGATTGAGCTGACTCAGAGGACCACTGGGGAGCCAGCATGCTGTGGATACCTTGGGGCCACAGCGGACAAAGAAAGCTCAGTGATTTGTTGTAGCACTAAAGAACTGACCATGCTGCTTCTGGAGGCTGGACCAGCTCAGTAAGATGGGGAGAAAGTGACCAGCTATGGCCTCTACCTTGGGAGAAAAAGAAGAGTGGAATGTGCATCTAACATTCTGGCTCTTCGGGGGGCTGCCAGAACGACTGTTTTCTTTCTTGTCTGACTTGTAGCATTGACTGGAAACTGCAATACTTCGGATGCTTGGGGATCATGAAAAGCTCAGCTGCTTGTTGCAGTGCCAGTGAAACTGCAGTACCACCTGTGCACACCAGAGGGAGCAAAAGATTATAAGCTCTTGAAAAATAAAAAGTGAAGCTCTATAATTTGTAAATTAAATGCACAAATATAAAGACAACACCTTCTTGGAAAAGATTAGAGGGATTGCCCGAAACTCTAATTGGGCTGATTGGTGGAGGTCTTCCCTTGTGCGAATCCAGCCTGGAAAGACTGAGAGAGGTGGTGGTTATCTTTTTTTTTTTCCCCCAGAAAACTACAAGCCCATAAAAATAACAAGACACACAAAGAAAAAGGGAATTGCAGCCTAATCAAATGATTAAACCTCCTAAAACAGCCCCAAAGGAATGGAGATCTATGAATTACCTGACAAAGAATTCAAATAATTATCTTCAAGAGTCTCAAGTGTACTGTAAGAGAACATTGATAGACAACTAAACAAAATCAGAAAAACAGTATGTGAA